GATTTCTGGTAGCCAGTGTTGACATTTGAAATCACCAAAACAAACACGCTCCTACCCCAAAAGGGTCTCGCCCCTATTTTGATAGCTCCACCCCACACAGACGTACGCAACCCAGGCAATGATTAGTTCTGTGGAACAAAGCAAAACCAATGTTACACCGTGTCTACACCAGACGCGAGCAGTGCGGCGCAACAAAATACTATAGAACTCATTATAATCAGTGATGCGGTCTATACCATAGATATATATATACATATCTATGGTCTACACTGGATGAGGCATGGCACGACATGACATGGCAAATCCCTGACAGAAAACTGCTGCTGCATTCTATTTATGACATATTGACACAAATTTCAAATGATTTTCAATGGTCGCTTTGTCACGTCCAGTGTACTAGACAGACTTTAGCTGTTGCGGCGCAGACACGGTGTTACTCACCTCAGATTCATACACACATCTGCAGTTTGTTGTTTCTAACAAGAGAATTCGCCAGAAAGAGGTATTCAGACAGCGAGCGAGTGAAGAAAACACCGGCATTTTAGCGATGACTCATCTGAATGCCTCTGATTGGCCATTGCACTCATAAGCTCAACAGCATCGTGTGTGATTGGTTATAATGCGCAGTGCTGTAAAAACACATCTGTCTCTGGCTCAGCGCCAGCCAGTGAACGCAGATTAGAATTTTAGCAGCTGATGATATGACGCACTGAGCGATTTGATCATGCTGGTGTGATTGTATCAAATATAGAAAATATTATTCGGCTAGTTTTTGTCTTTTGGAAGCTGCATTCAAAATCCACTTGGCTCAAAAATCTGAGGGGGCACGTGCCCTCTCACTTTGAATGGGCATGACGCCTCTGCTGCATCTGTAGCACAACATTACAAATTTGGCTCAGAAGTTTATTTTGATAAATGATTGGATAACAAGGTCACCAGTCACCACATCTCAGTGGAGATGGAGTGCATGCTCTAACCACTCTAACCACTGAACCACATCTCCAGACACAATTATGAGGTTTTAAACGAAGTTTATTGTGCATGTGACAGATTGTATAGCGGCCTATTCATTTTGAGTTTACATGTGATTAATAGGCCACTATTAAATGTTTTATAAGGAGTTGTGGGATGTTGCAGTCAGAATTGGAGTGACAGCTGTAGGATGCACTGTTGTTGTTGTTGACATTGTAAATTAACTAATGGGATGTTGTGGGACTGTGAGAAGGGTGTTTTGGATTTGTTTTTTTTCGGATGTTGTTCTGGGTTTTGTCCTCCCTCTCTCTCCCTCTTCCAGTCTCATTGTGTTGTTTGCTACTCTGTTGTTTCTCTAATTCTCTGGATGTGGTGAGAGGAGGAGCGCGGGCAGATGTTCTCTCTCAGGCTACGTTTCAACAGAGCTTCTTTCTGCATGTGTGTATTTGTGCGAGACTACTTTGCAACTCTCTCGCAATAATTCTTAATTAGGACTGGATGTCACTGAGGTGTTTTTCTCAGTGTTTAGGAATGGAACTGCAGTTTGCGAAGGATTTACAACTCATTTCACAATAACAAAAACATAGTGCATGCATCTTATTTCAGCCCTTAAACATATGTCTTACATCTCCTAATAGTACGCTATATATAAATAGTTTGAGATGTAAGGATTAATGTGTCCATGGAAATGAGTGTTTATTTATCAGTCTTTTTACCCAACAGCATATCCATGGGTATTTAGCTTAGATAGCAGTCACTGGAGGATAAATATGCCCATTTTAAGTGTTTAGAAAGTAGAAATCCCATGTGCAATGGCTAATTTTCTTCTTCCTCATCAGCTCAGCTTTCATCTCCATGACATTAGCTAAACATTACCCACTCATTACAAAGTGTATTAGAGACCCAGTTAGACAATCGCAGAAGCTCCTTGCAGTGAAAGCTGTAATACCCAGCTCTGGGATGTTTCATATGGCTACAGTCATGCATTCCCAGATGTTACAGAAATATATCCTCAGAACACATTCTAGCTTACTTATAATAATTACATTAAACTGAGATGTGTGCAATAATTCTCAATAGGTTAGGAAAGGCAGTTTATTATCTCTACAAATTTTTAACACTATTTCTACTATTAGCAGTACTGCTACTACAAATGCTGTACTACTATAATTTAACTTAATGAAGTTCTACTACTAAATGTTTCACCTAGTGGGACTACAGATGGCTTTGAAATGCAGTTTGATTAGTACACTTGCCAACCTTTGAGCTTGGTTAAATATATATTTATAATCTCAGTTGCTGTTGTTTTTTTCTCTTGAAAAATCTGAGTTACGAAGACATAGATTTCCATCACTGCATCCCCATGGTAACGCTGTTAGCCTGCCATGTCCATCACTTGATGGGAATGGATGAGTTTCATTAGCTCCAACACTGCGTTGATTAGTTTGGTCTGGCACTGTAATGATCCTTGAGGTTTAAGCTTTCCGTCAGGGGCTCCCCCGTCTGGAACGAGAGCGAGACGCGGAGCCGCGCCTCCCGTCTGTACTCTTTATATAGAAGGTTTTGAAATTCACAGAGAATATTTTTAGATTTTTCAGTAACATAGCCAATTTATTTTGTTGTTTGAAAGGTGTTTAGCAGAAATGTTTCATAAATTCAGTATGCTGTTAGAGCTTAGGTGCTTTAGGGAAGTTGCTATGAAATGTATTACAGATTTCCAGTTGCGACTGTGGCTCTTTATTTCTG